TAGCACTGTCTTCAGTGGTTGACCAAAGTAGTAAATGAGAAGGCAGTTTGATCAAGAACTGTATGTTGAAGGAAGCAAAAAAACTTTTTGAAAATACTCTCTTAAATTGTTTGGCGAATAGAATGATCCACGTTTACTTCTGGACTGTTTTTGTAAAGGAACTGGAAATACTCCTTAGATTGTAAAACATAAGGCTAATTTATTTTAACTTGTATATTTTTAAAAGGTTAAAATATTCAATGCATATCTGACTTGAACACTAAGGATTGTGTTGAAGTGCTATTCAGCTGTAGCTTAGTTAAATCTACAATTTTAAATACAATCTTACATACTGGTATGCTCTTGAGCAAGATGGTGCCTCTTAATTTATAAGTTACCTTATTCTTAAATAGCATGGCGATCTGAATTTTTGGTAGCAGTAAAATTCATTTTATAAATGTGACTCATGACTTTGTGGGTGCAGCTGCTGCTACGTTACAGTGAAAGTATGGGATAAAAACATTATTGATTTCATGGTAAAGCATGATCTGAAGTGCAGTGTAATTTAACCCCTCTATAAATTTCCCTTTGAAAGAATGTTTTGACTTTTGGTAGTTGTTGATATCTCAAAAAGGGGAAAGGAAGCCAAGTTTACTAGGAAAAATCCATGAAGAACCGCCACATGACCATCATACTTTAGTAGAGTGGAAGCCTGTGGGGCTTTTTGTTTGTTTTTTTTAAAGTGAAGAGGAAAGATGCCTGCCACCTGTTGTGCTCTCATTTGCAGATTGCTTTGTTGACAGCTGGTAAAGTCACTTACTGTTGATGAAGTATTATTATCTACTGACATTCTCCAGTAATTACAAGAACTAGTTTTGTAACTAAATTTAATAAATTTATCAAAAATTTAACTGTACACATTTCACAATTTCTTTCACTCATGAGTTGGTCAGCTACATCATGCATTTTAACCTTGAAGTTATGCTGCTTGTGCTCACTTTCCAAAGTCACACCAGTTAAAGGGAGAAGATCTATCGGTCTTTCTAAGCCATGGGGGGATTGTCTTTGTTCATTGAGTTTTAAGAAATGAATGGCCTGAATTTAATCTGACTAGTGCCTGATGTACACAAATATTGACATGGCTTGAAAAGGCCTCATTTTCCAGAGGATAGGGTATTTTGCATTTTTTGAAAGTCAGATCCTTTTCAGGTGTCAAGTAGGGTACCCATGATCACTTTCAGCTCTGAAAAATTAGGCTTGCGTACCTTGGAGAAGCAAGAGGACCAGCACTGTGATCAATAGGCAGCAAGAGAACTTTTCCGTGGAGAAAAGGTAGTAAACTACAACTTCTGTTATTACCCATTTCTAAAACAGTCTTAACGTTAAAGAATTTGTAACCCCACATCTAGTAATTTTGAGAGCTTTCTCATTTTGTTGTAGCAATTTGTTAAATCAAACCAGTCATTTGTTACTCCAGCTTGTTTCTGACAGCAGACTGAAGTCCATTATAAAACAGCTGGAGATCACCATTTTACTTAATGGTCTCTGGGCATGTCTATACAAAATGCTATGTCACTGTAGCAATGAGCCTGTCGCTACAGTGATGTAGCATTTGCAGGCACTAATTATGATACTACCACTACTGTGCAATAGCAAAGAGCTCAAGTAGGGTTGAAAATGACCTGCATGCCACTGGGACTTAATCATTTAGCAAGTACTAAATGTGTAGTACCAGTGTAGACGTGCTGCCCATCTTGCTAATCTTCTACCATTCTGCTTTGGATGATTTGCCAAAGAATGGAAATCTGGCCTTTAACAGTGGGTTCATTTCAAATGTTTGGATATGGCCCCTCTTCTTCCTAGCCAAAAAGCAGACTAATTGAAGATCACAGTATCAGTTTTACTGTCTTGGGCTTCTAATCAATACAACCTGTATCTCAAGAGTAACATCCTCTCCCAACTGAAATTAGTAGCAAAAAGTCACTGAGTTTAACAAGGCCAGGATTTCACGTCATATACTAGCTTGTAGGTAGCTAGAGTAATTCATAATTTCATGTTTTACTACATAGCTTTATCTTCAAGTTTTCTAAATAAAAAAATAACTTGTTGCATTAACACTCCTAGTGCTATTACATAAAGTAGCACTTAAGTTTAGGAATTCTAATCCCATTTCATCAAAATAACTTAGGGTATGAGAATAGTCTTGGCTCCATATTGAACTTGGTCAGTTACTGCTATAACAATGTTAGAGCACTGAGATTATGGTGCTGCTACACATCTGAGCAACAGCCACCTGTTCTTTTGATATGTGAAATGGCTAGCTGAAAGCAGTACAGATTTAAGGGTTGGGTTTTTTTTTTTTTAAACCTTCAAAGATAAAATCAGCCTTCCATGATAACCAAGTTAAAGTTCTGTTGTACAACAGTGTATGTTATAATTTTATGATGGGTATTCATGGTTAGTGAAAAGCCAGATTCTGCAAAGGAAAAAAAAAACCATGTGAAAGAGACCCTTTGGACTGCAACTTGGTCCTGATTAGCTGCAGGAACTTAACAGTCCCTGATGAATTTTGGTAGCAAAAGAATTTTTGGCGTTTTTTTTCTATGGTTTGCTAAGCAAGGAAATACAGAAGTTATACCTGCTGCTAAGCATGGCATTGCAATTACTTATGACCTAGCAGGTCAAGCATATTTGGTTTATACATGCTGCTTTCAAGTAGGGCTATTTTTCTGTTAGGTAGAAAACAGATGGTAGTAAAACTGTTGGCAAGCAGCTGTTGCTGTCATCAGTTTTGCTGCAAATGGGAACTGACTGTTGATTTCCACAGCCCAACTTCTCCCACAGGCTTGAGAAACATTCCTGGGGTAGTTGAGCCAGTGGCAGCTGATGGCCATGCCCTCTCTCTAGTTGGCCACCTCATTTCCTGTGTGTCTAACCACAGTTCACCAGTAGCTCATTTTGGTTCTGATGAGTGTTTTTTTCCAAGTGTTTTTTTCTTTTTAGTGGTAGTGAGCAATTTCCCTTTTTTCTTCTTCCCCCACCCCCAGATCAGGTATTAAAAGGAATGTTGGTTTCAACCAGTTCTATAGAGCTATCCTGCCATGATGCTTCTGCCTCTCAGGCACGGCCAACTGCCCCCTATAGGCTGAGCTAGTTAAATCTAAAGGAGAAATCCCCAGTTTGAGGCAGCATGTGCAGACTTCACACAAGAATTCTACCTTGCCTGTTCTGTGCCAAGAAACAGGGATCAATGTCAGATAGACACGCTAACACCCTTACCTCACAAATGAAGCTATCCGGTCTACAGCCTAGTTTTGCAAGAGCCACACTGTCCTATTTGGACAACATTAAGACAAGGGAAAACAGGACCTTTGTGGCTTCTGATCTAGCCTCAGAAAAAAGTCTTTGTCACAGATCCTCAGTGGGTGCTCAAGGATTCCAAGCAGCCAAGTGCCCAGAATATAAATACCCAAGTCTGGGTTCATCTAAGACTGACAGACATTCTGCTTGGGAAGGAAAACAAAGAGGGAAGTAATATTACAATGGAGTCTCTGAACAAAAAAACGTTTCTTATGCACACATGTGCGTAGCCTTGAAAAACTGCAACAGCCAAAAAGCTTTTTTGTAGCAAAGGTGCCAGAGAAATAAGAGCAAAGTCAGGAGGAAGATCTGGCAAAACTGAGGGTTCACCTGCAGCAGTGTGCAAATGTCTCCACCTGGATCAGAATCTAAGGTAGACCATTCCCTTGAAGTGGATTATTCTTTCAGGCATATACAAATAGATAAGAGGTAATGATTTGTGGCTCCTCCCTTGAGGTAAATGCTGTGTCCTGTCTCTTCTTCACCTGTCTTCCATTTCAAGCAAATGTTATATGAAAATCTCACTGCATCTTGACACAAGATCATAAAGGGCATTTCAGAAGAGTTTCTTAAGATATATTCAGGCTAAATCTAAGTATAATATGGGAAAGGAGGTCATTGCTTCTCTAGAACCCACCAATAAATAGTTGAGGAAAGTGAAAATGCAGACTCTTGTGCTGGAAGTACCCAATGAGACACTCTCAATTCAGGGGATCCATGAGATACATATGTATACTCCCATACATCCAAGCCATCACTACTTAACTAAGATTGATTTGGCCCAAACCAGTACCGGCACAAAACTGGGGTTTTACATTTTGGGACACTAATCTGGCTTTCTCCCTACACATCATATATTGCTAAAGGATGGAATGCTACTAAACCAATTTTATTTATGGCTTTAATCCATAAAGAACTATTAAGGTTCTTGAAATACTTTGAACTCAACCTTACTTCTTATAAAAGTAAATGTAGTTACTAGTTATATATAAGCTGTTTACATACACACAGAAGAAACAAATGCACTTTACTGGAAGCAGCATCACATTACTTCAACCCGGCTCTCTAGCATCCACAAAGATTGGATACTTCAGCGAGGCTTTTTGGCACTTTTAGTTAAAGCTGATTCAATCAGCTATTAGTTAAAAGCACCAAAAAAGCCCCACTAATCCTCCTGATCTTTACAGACGTTGGGTGAGTCAGGCTGAAGTAATGTGCTGCCTCTTCTGGGCATGCACAGGGCTCAGTGCAGGAACATGCCAATTTTAAGAGGTAAAGTGCAGGTTGTTTTTTTTAATTTAAGTCTGCGAGGACCATAAAGAATCTGTATAATTGATCGAAATGGACTGAAATTAGCTTCTTACATTGTTGATTTACCCAGGGTATTCAGCTAAAGCCCTGATAGACACTGAGTTCTGAAGTTTGTTAACTATAACTGGATATTTACAGTAGAGTAGCAAGGTAAGATCAAGTTTTCCCCATTATGGAAGCAAGATTAGTATCTGGTTACTAGATTTCAAGAGACTGCCAAAAATACAGAAGATGTGCTTGAGACAAGACAACTGGAAAAGATCAGTGGCTTGATGAATACCGATTTAACCAAAGCTTTTGGTAAGGAATAATTATCATAAGACAAAGCAGTAACAAAAAATGTTGTTTTAACTGAATGACAAAGACAAAAATATACACCAGTTCACTTAATTTTCCAATTATAAAACAAAGTAAATAACAGCCAAATTTAAGATGTAAATACCCGCCTTTAAAGTGCATCTTTTAGCTCTTCTACCACACTACATACAAGACCAAAGCCCACAAACAACTGCCTTCGTATGGACTGCATGTCACAGCACATTGACACAGTCATAGTGCAGGAACAAGGACAACCTTGATTAACTTGCCTATAGTGCTCAAGAGATGACAAGATTTTTTTTTCTAAGGGAGGTAGGCTGAGTTTTGGTTTAAAGTCACAAATTAGCTTGACATACAGAAAAATGAACCACATATGGTTTAACAATCTCCAGCATACAGAAGGTTAGGAGCAGCCATCAAGATTTGCTAAATTTGAGAATTGTGAGCATTTCTCTTCCTGCTTGTCTGGAAAGTACTTTAGCACCCCTTAAACCACACTGTTTCATGATTTCCAAAATTTCATCTGTAATGAAAAATAACATTACAAGTCAGTTTAAGTGTTAAATTAAAGCTAAAACAAGCCTATTCTGTCTTAAACTACTGGCTGAAACCAAAGCAAAACATCAGTGTTACAAAACATCTACCATGCTCCTTTAAATGATTAGATCAAACTTTTTTTTCCTCCGCAAACCACTTGAAAAATTGCTGAGGGTCTTGGCAGACCACTTAACTTTTTTTGTTCTACAAATCAAAGCACACAACTCACATTTTAACGTCAGTAGTCTTACAAGCACAGCTATTCTCAATTGTTCTGCAACCATTCTGCGGACCACTTGAACGGAGCTCACGGACTAGTTGTGGTTCATAGACCACAGTTTGAGAACCTCTGGATTAAAGCAAAGTAAACCATCCAACAGTAATGAATAAGTTAGCTTTCTAGTATTGGATATCAAGATTTTCATACTTGTCTAACAATGTAAAAAAGCAGCAACATTACTATAAAGCTTAGCTTTAAAATATACTCAAATGTTCCTGACTCAAACAAAGTGCTTAATTGTTTTTAATAATCTGTATATGCCACTGTGGGTTAAGTTCAGTTAGCATCTGTAACTTTATAGTTCAGTATGAATCATTATACTATGTAAGATATTATCTTAAACTGCTTCAATTAAAAATATTTCTCCAGACCACTCAGGTTTCAAGCACTATTTTTGAACATTCTATGAAACAGCTGTAAACCTCATGTTTGCCCTATGGAAGTGTCCAAACATTGAAGTTCCTTTTGTAGCTTTTGTTTCATTTTAGCAGAGACAGTCCACAATGCTGTAATGACAACAGTGTTTTTCCTATACTTACTATGTTGTTCAACACTTAGCTCTTGCGAAATACACCGGGGCTAAATCCAGAGATTTAAGGCCAGCTTCAAGTGACCTTATAAGTACCTAAACAGGACTTAGACAGAACAAAGTACCTAAGTCACAATGTGCTATCCAAATAGACCCTGCTCAATGGATACAAAGCTGGTTAGGTGCTGAGTTGCATTAGGCATTTCCATTTTGGTCACGAAAGATCCATCCAGCCTGGAGTTAGCTGTTTACTTATGTTAAAGCAGCAGGACTTAGGCCCCATCCCGTTTCTGGCATTTCCTTCTGACTAGTTTAGACAGATTCTTAGTTGCTTTGGGCACCTGTACGTATGTATGTGATGCAGCACTGGGCACTTTTTAAAGTGCCTGGTGCGCTGCAGTGCATGCATTTGCATAAACAGCGAAAAGTGCATCAGTGCTGAGAAAACAGCAGTGACATGCTTGTGAACTAAAGCATATCAAAGGTCTTTTAGTTCAAAAGTGCACCACTGCCATTTTCTGTGTGCCGATATGCATTGTGCCATTTATACAAATGTATGCGATGCAGGGCCGGGCACATCAGCTTGCATCTCGCTCCAATGCACTGGATTTCCAGCAGACAAAAGGTACATCTATAAATGCCCTTTGCTGCTTCCTGTGAAATCCATTCTTGGGTACCTAACTCCTCTCATGGACTGTATGAGGAGCCTGCACACTCTAAAGCAATGTCAGGCATTTTCATTTGGGCAGACTTTTAGCAGGCTAGGTTGAGTTTCGGGGTATTTAGTTTTATTATATATGCTTTCCTTTTTTGTTAACTGAAGGTGGCAATGAGTTTTTTGGGAAGACTAGAATATAAATCAAATTAATGATTTAGGCCTGAGGATCCCATTGGAGAGCAAAGCATCTAAAATTTTCTTTGGAAATTTAGCTCATGCTAGTTTCAAGAAAGAGAAAACACTTTAAAAAGATAGTGATCTTTGATAAAGACTGCCACAAATACATGCTAGTCTGTATTAGGATCTTCAAAAAATGCCTATTAATGCTAAAAAATGTTGTCAATCCAATGCAACTTGCTACTACCATATACTATATCAGTCAGCCTGATGTCTGCATTATTAAGTAGAGTTTGGTGCATATTATAAAAAGTCCGTTACCTGGATTGTTTTCTTTAATTGTGACTAAATAGAATAATCCTCTTGTTGAAAGCAGATCTGCTACTAAAGGAAAAAGTCTATCCATTACTTCTCTGCCATTTTTGCCTCCAGCCCAGGCAGCCTCTATTCCATGGCTTTCTGCCTAGAGTAAATTAAATTAAAAAGTGATGATAAAATTGCTTTGCTAAATATTTGAATTTTTATATAGATAAATGCTCTAGATCAGCATTTCTCAACCTGTAGGTCACGGCCCAAAAGTGGGTTGCAAGAATATATGAAAGGGTTGTGAACACACTCTAAAAATGGATCAACAAACTTTAAAAATGGATTCTCTTTTAAAGGAGAAAAACCATGGGAAGTGGTGGTTTTTCCCTTGCAGGCTGGCAGAGTTCCAGCCTGTGAGGGGCTTCTTGAGGTCCCCCGTGCTCCACACCATTGGCCCCCTGCCCCACACTGAGGGACTGGGGACAGGGGGTGGGGTGCAGCAGGTCAGGAGAGAGAGGCACTGGGTCAGGACTGGCCATCAGTGTTTACAAATGGGTCCTGGTACAAAGAAGGTTGAGAAACCAGCGTACTAGATGTTTGCAACACTTTAGGATCCCCCACTATTGTCCATACCCAAAAGAGCCAAACCATTTTAAACATCAAAATTGCTAGATGGCAGCACTATTTATTCATCAGATGTGTCTTATTTATGTGCTCCGGAGACATAAATGCATTAATTTGTTTGCAGCTGTTTGAAAATAGACTGTTTTCTTACAGTCAAAGGTACTTTTATAAACTGGCATTAGTGTAAATTTCCAATAACAGGCCTGAATAACTACAAGATAAAAATTAAAGCAGGTCAAAAAGTGCAATTTTCATTTGGTGGGATAGGGGGAGGGGAATAAAGGTGGGGCATTCACCCTAAATCAGGTTGAAAAGTTTCAAAACAAAGCAAAAACAACCCCTTAAAATTGTGTGAAAATATTCAGAATCTTTAATTTTAGAAGAACCAAAAGAGAATCTGTCAACTCACACTTACAAGGCTCTTGTTAATTTCACTCTCTCCCTTCAGGAACACACCTTATTTTGGGAAATGGGTGTTTTCCAATGGAAAATTATTTTCTGTAGAAAACTCCTAAATTTCTCATGGAAATAAGGTAAGTAATGCCTTCATACCTTGTGCAACAAGGTGCTACAAATCTAGTGGTTGATATTTCCTGTAAAAAGTTACGTGATCATCAGTGGCTCCACACTCACTTGCTCTTTATCAAACCACTGCAACTCAGAATAGTAGTAATTTAATGAACTGAGATTAAATACTGATTTGTCACAAGAGAACCAAATCATACTGTAAGAGACTGATTCTAAATTGCAAATCCTCATATCTTACCTCTTCAGAAGGGGTCACCACATAAGGTGGATTAAACAGCAATACATCAACTTTTCCATTTAATCTTGGTACCAGTCCTGTGACCTAGAGATTAAATCAAGGTATGGAACAGGTTCTCTTACACACCTGAAGGGTAACAGAAACACAGACTTATATTGCTCTTTATACAAATAATCGTTACAGCACTGCATATTTATCGTGCGTGGAACTAAGTGGGAAGCTAAGCTGAACACCGTATTTACTCAAATTAAAGATGACCCAGATCATAAAATGACCCCTCAATAATTAGTTTTTATATTTGAAAAATTTATAAGTTTCTTATGATTTCCAGGCATAGACTCTAATTAGTGGAAGTCTGCCTTGAGTATGTCCCCCTCCCATTGCTATAGCAGGGAAAATGTCTCAGGTAGCCCCTTTGCTCTCTGCCTCCCCCCTGCATCCCCTCCCCACCCCTTGCCTTACTGTCAAATCCTGTTCTGAGCACACAGTTGAGAGGAACAAACGTGAAAACACTGACGTTGAAATTAAACATAGCTGTATTAATTTGTATATAGTACCCATAGACTTAGTTCATCTAGAACTGATGCATGTTACTTTTTGAAACTACTGCAAGTTCTAGCACAGGTACTCCATAAACGCACTTTTAAGCAGCACTCTGGTACCCACTAACATATAGTACAAGCTATACTTGACATTTGTCCAAAGTTAAGAACCTCATAATTTATCCTATGGTTCACTGAGCTGGAACCCACTAAAATCCATGTGATTTCAAGCCATGTTGACCACACACCTCAGCACTGCTCAGTATGCATGTGTACTTCAGATAGATCCTTTGTGGGGGTATGTGCTAATTAGGCCACCACTCATGACTGGAATTAGGTGTTCTTATTATAAGTCCTGGGATCCTCCAAAAATGTATATGCAGATAAGATGAAGGGCACCCTGGTCTGGCTCTACCTCATCCACAGCAGAGCCACATAAATCATATGTGATGTGCTGGGGGGAGGGGTGACAGAGGAATTCTGGGTGAACTGTTTGGGGCCCCATTTGGTGATATTTGCCAGACATTTAAGGCTGGTAAAAAAAAACAAAAAACCCAGGAATATTGGGAAAGGAAGGCACAGGTCAGCTGTACTGCAAGTGATTTCCCATGGGAGTGATAACATTATCTTATATAAACCAACTGAAGTGCAGTGGCACCTGCCCCTATTTTCCATTCCACTCCATAGCAATGCATTAAATTTATCACATTTGGTTCTGAACAGCTTAGTCTTCCCACTTAGTCCAAGAGCACTATGCCTGTCTCACTGTGCTGGGGCAGTACATAGACCAAAACACACGGGATAGTACTACAGAATTCTCAACAGGGTCCCAGCCCATGAATTAGAGCTACAGAACAGTGAGAGACAGAAAGAAAGAAGCTATACTAATTAAGGGCATCAGATGATATACAGTTTTTTACCTCTTGGTCAGATTCACACTCAGCCCAGGTCTGAAATTATGCAAAGTTAAACATCTGCTATCTGTTCATTGGCCTACATGATGCTATAATTTTTCACTTGGAAACCGGACTGTTGACAAGTATTCATATATTCTAGCTAATAACATGTTTTAAAATTAAAAATCTTACACAGGAAACATAAAACTTACTTTCCCATGATGTGCTGCATTCTTTATTTAAATGAATCATGATGCAAGGGAACTTATAAACAGAGACAAAACATTTAGACTTGAGCATTTATAGGTTATTTTAGCCCTGGGTACAAAGTTAGTCGCCCACTTGAAAGCTCTAGGTGTTCTCAATTTTCAAATCCATTTACAAGTAATTCAGCACTAGCTGTATTTTAGCAACTGAGGGACTCATGTGGCATAGACTTTCTTTACACTTTGATACCACATCAGCTGTTTTGTCCTTTCTTTTCACATTCAGCATTCCACCTCAATGTTCTGGACCAATTTTTGAGAGTGGCAGTGTTTTTTTCCTAGGCACTGTGGTCACTTTTGTTTTTTGTAAGCTCGCAACAATATCTGAGGGAGTGCATCAACAGGAGTGCCTTGCAAAATAATAAGATAAATATTTACGTGTTGTAGTATGCTTTCAACAAAACTGATGTAGTTTATTAAACACTGTAGTAAAATATTTAATTGCTTCCAAGCAAGTCTCTGCTATACAGTTTTTCAGTTCCTGAAATATCTGAAGGTTACATTATAGAAACCTTTATCTTACCAGGTCGGTAATAATTGGCTGAATGTGAACTTTGTTAAGTAGAGCTGTCTCCATGGTACAAAAAGCTGCTGTAGGGTTGATGTCTGTACATCTGAAAGTAAGACATTAATGGTACTTCACTGTTACAAGGTACAATTA